ATTTTACTTCATTTATTTACAGCTATATGCAAGTTTGAGGTTTCTGTCATCTGGAGCTAAACCATTATAAAAACGAATTCTGGGATTGGCAGTTCTTTCCCAAAAAATTGTTTATATCAGAAGTTCATTTTTATTAAGCCAGAAAATATATTTATGAATTTTGCATATTTCAAAAAATTCTTTTTACTACCATAATTTTAAAATATTTATCTGACTACCTTTCATTTTATGAGCAGTCAGATTTATACATTACTATGCAACAAGCCTTATTGCAAGTGAATCATGGATTTAAAGCCTCAAATCTGATAAAAGCTTGATTTCATCTGCATCAAATATATTGAAATTTATCAAGATAATGAAACAGTCTACCTAAGTTCTATTCAAGTTCAACTTTTAGTTGCATAATTTAACACAGTCTAGGATTTTATGGTAATAAATATATTGTCTCGTGTATATGGGTTCGTAATAGCTTGAATGCACACAGCTCCGATGATAGGTTCATAAAATTTATTTTATCAAAAGAAACACTTCAGAGTTTTGAAACTTTCCACAGAAAAACACATACAGGTGTTCATAGTATCACAGAGTACAATCAGTAGTTACATTTCAAACTGCTAGGAATGTTAAACACAATGCAAGCAAAGTGCATCTAAAAGGCAAAGCTTCCAATACTCTGAAGTCTCTCTGAACTAAGCAGAGCAGATGCTCTCTCCGGCCCTATATAATTTTCACCTGGTCATGAAGATATTTGTAGTACTTCCTGCTTCTTGAAATTATGACGGCTGAATTATGGTTACAGCTATATATGAAATCAATTAGAATTATTCAATTACAATACTTATTATGGTAATACAAGAACTGGAATTATTACTAGTCTTATGTAATTGAGTCTGAACTGAAAGCTGAAAAACTTAAAGATACCTGCTTATACAGATCATTTAAAGAAGATTGCATGAATAAACAACATTCAAATGGCTGGTTGTAGATACATGAATTTCACTATAAGAAATTAATCAAATAAAACAGATCTACAGCTTATGGTAATTTTGACCTTTAGTACAATTCAGCAAAAATATATATAAAACAATTTTAGCACGTGCTTTATACAAAAATATCTATGTTTGGCAGACAGAAGAGAGAATCAGCTTATGCAATGAAATTAACTATTAATTAAACCTTTCAGCACAAACATGGCTAAAAGCTCATAACAAACAGTTTTAAATAAATTAAATTATTACAGTTTAAGATATTACACTACTGATCAATAAAGAAGCAATCATTGCAAGATTTTCAGTTACAAATGCAATTATACACTCACTTCCAAAAGTTAAGCACAGAGAGGAAAATGCTTATTTCCGGAAGTCAATCAGAATTGAAGAGGATGCAATTCGCTGTAGAGGTAGATGGAAGTATGCAAATATGTTAGGTAACAGCCAATCGCACTTTCATGTCATAAATTATGCAAAAAAGGCAGTCTTATAAGAAGCCTGCTTTATGAAGGGTTACAGAAGTTGATTATAAGTGCTGATAGAAGATGTTTAAAACTTTTGTACAATTTGTTATCAAGACATACGTGTTTCTACGACTTCCAGAAGATGAATGGAAGATTCTGAGCGCTGGTGTGCTGTGTGGCGCATTGAAGTAGGGCAGTCGATCCCAGATGTTGCTCTTTTCTTTGGCGTTCATCATTCTGTAATTTCACGTTTATGGAAGCAATTCCAAACCACACAGACAGTTGTCTGAAGGCCCGTAGCTGGTCGCCCAAGGGTTACAACCTCCGCGGAAGATCGATATATTGCTATTATAGACAAGCAGAATCGCAGAACGACATCCTAATGTGTGACATCTATGGTTACAGCATCCATTGGTAAGGTGATATCTGCAGCTACTGTATGCCGAAGATTACATATGAGTGGACTGTACGCCCGAGTACCTCGAGTTTGTGTTCCTCTATTCGTCCAAACAAGAAGGGCACAATTACAGTGGTGCCGGGAACATGTCAACTGGAATGTGTCTGACTGGGGCAATGTCATGTTTACTGAAGATTTGCTCTGGAGCCAGATGACAAGCATATAAGGATATGGCGTGAACAACGAACACGCAATCAGTCCCAAAACATCACTGAACATCACGCAATCCGAGGCGGAAGCATTAAGGTGTTGGCAGGGATTTCATTAGGATACCGCACCGACCTGCACATCTTTAAATGGGGTTCTTTGACAGCTGTCCGGTATCGAGATGAAGTTCTAGAACCCATTGTGAGATTGTACGCTGCAGCAGTTGGTCCTACTTTTGTTTTAATGGACGATAACGCATGTCCCCATAGAGATGACATCGTCGATTATTACCTGGAAGTGAAGGGATTGCACGTATGCCGCGGCCAGCATATTCAACCTTAATCCCATTGAAAATGTTTGGGATGCTCTCAGCCGTGCTGTATCTTCACATTTCCCACCTCCAGCCAGTCTTATTGAGCTGGGAACTGCCCTACAAGAAGAATGGTGATTGCTTAACTCTGCAGTGGTTGACCACCTAATTGAAAGCACGGTCACAAGGTGTAAACTTTGTATACAGATGAGGGGGGGATCACATACCCTATTAATGTCTTTTTTCTCCCCTATAAAGTCATTTTCTGATAACTTACAAAAATTTAATATTGTTTTCATTTCTGTATATAATTATTGATTTTGTTTTATGCATAAATAAATATATATGCTACTTTCCTGCCGAATTTTGTGTCAATCAAAGCAGTATTTGTTGATTTTTTTGCATTTTACATCTTCATGCTTAACTTTTGAAAGTGAGTGTATTAAAAAAAAAAAAAAAAAAAATCGCATTTAAGAAGCCAATGGGCTGCAAGTGGCTTGCAGGCAACATTTAAAGGTCCAGACAGCCACATGAAGCATATAAGCACAACTTAGCCATACCTTGTATAATATATCGCCAAGTAACACTGTCATCATTTCGATTTGCACAGAATGAAGTGTTTTTTTCGAGTCGACCAAACAGTGCATGGCGATGTTTTAGTTTCAAAGATTAAATACAGCCTTTTTGAGCAGCGGAAGTGAAAATGCTAATGAAGTTCCTGCAACTGAAAAAGGCGATTCAATTTAACATTTAAAGCTATAGTTCTGTAAATTTATGCAACTTATGCTAGTTTGTGTTGCTACAGGTTCTTTAATATTTCTTCTTTGGTGTGTTATTTTTGTTACAACATCACACTACACTAAAAATAATAGTGAAGTCTGATACTACATAATTTCTGTAACATATATATTGTTATGGATTTTGTATTTATTTAGCTATTTTTAGTAGAATTTGTAATTAAAATTGTTTTATATTTCTGTGCAATGGAGCATGAGACTTATTTGAAGAGAAAGCTACACTGGAAAAATTAAAATACAGGAGCAGGCACATTTAACATTTTAATAAATAGATGTCTCGTAATTGTACTCTTTTTCTATACAGAAAAATCGAGAAAATACCAGAATGTTCTTGTACATGATTAAAACGCTTATAAAAGCTGGAGGAAAACATCTCAATTCAGTTGTTTACTTACTGCTGTTATTAATTGTAGTGAATTGAATTTGTGGTGAGATCGGATTAGTTTTCTCTGTTTTGAATTGAGTTCTATTAAATGTTTTAGTAGTTTAAAATATACCTACTGTGAGATATTGTGATATTGTATGAATATCTCTGATGAAATTTCAGCATTTTGTTTTATTTCTTGGGATAAAAATAAATTTTATTAACTTTTTATCAACTTGTGCATTCAATTTATTATGAATCCGCATGCACGCAACAATATTCATTTTCAACTTTACAGTAACAAGCTTTTAACTCAGGTACCAAAACTGAATACAGTCTTTTATCCTGATTACATTTATGGACATTAATTCCAGATCCTGATATTTGGATTTAAGATGCAAAATTTAACAATTAACTGTTTTAAGGGAGGACTTTTCCTCACAGCTTTACTTTAATTATGAAAAGAAGATCATATTTTAAATCAACACGAAAAAACTCAAAGCATTTGATATTTTCCTGGACTTCACAACTTTTTTGAGCAGAATCTGCTATATATTCTAGGACTCTGTCATCCGCATTATAAATTTTAATTAAAAAAATATAGTAAACGTCAAAATCACTAAAAATAGAACAAATTACATATATTATAAATATATATTTATAGCATTATGTATTAATATATACAGGGTGAGTCTGAACAAATGGGCAAAACTTTAGTGGGTGATAGAAGGCAGCTATATGAGCAATATTTGTCATAGAATGTATGGTTGGAACACCAACAGCGAGCCAGTACGTGGCATTGTAAATGGTATAAAAAGAACTGTTCCTCGCACCCAACGGCAATTTCTACTGTGGATTGCCGAGACAATGGCTGGTTAGAACCACGAAGCTTCCAGAGCGATGGATTGGTCAAGGGGATCCCATAGCTTGGCCAAGATCACTGGATCTGTCATGTTTGGACTTTTCTCTGTAGAGCCATATGAAAAGCCCAATCTACGATTATCCTGCTGAAACGAATATGGATCGAACCGTCAGGTTTACTGCTGTTGCCAACAATAATCAGGGAATGCCTGGTGTCTTTGCAAATGTGCACCAGTCCCTATTGTGCAGGTGTGAAGCCTGTATTACAGCTGGCGGAAGGTCTTTTGAGCAATTTCTTTGAGCATGCTCATCAATTATACTCTTTTTAATAAAATGTTTTCTGAAGTATATCCTCTCATTCTTGAGTTAATTCTTTAAATGTGACAGTAGAAAACTAGCCTGTAACTTCTTACTGCTTGCATTACGACCATACATTCTATGATGAATATTACTGGTATAGCTACCTTCTATCACCTCCTAAAAATCTGTCCACTTGTACAGTTTCACCCTGTATAATGTATTATATATATATATATATTAAACATAGTGACTGTTTTAAAGACATAACATTTTACATGCTTAATCATCACTATAAAAACATGAACACATACCTTTGGAACATTAGAAACTGCTACAGAAGGCATTTCTTGAGCAAGGCACTGAAGAACAGTTAAGTAGCCTAAAACATGCAGTCCTGCAACAGGTTAAAACCAATTATGTTTGTTCTGAGAACAGATAAATATAAACAAATATAAGATTTGCTTGCACAATTAACATTTAAAATTTGATTTAAGTATTCAGTGGTGGCTAAGCATTTTATAGCTATCTTTGTATGAGGAGATGTATCTTCATGGAAGATTTTTTTAAATGGACAATGGCTTCTATTTACATTAACATGAGGATAATCTCATACAGCTAGCATGTTCATCTATCAAGATTAGGATCTGGAGCAAAGTACTGGTGCTTTCCCACTTTATCCACACATGGCCTTTTTTGGCTTTTTTTTTTTTTTTTTTTTTTTTTTTTTTGTAGTAATAACATTTTTAATTTCCTATAAAAAAAAGGTTTTACTACTAAAGCTACTTTGATATATTTTCCTTTAATAGTAATAATAATAATAATAATTTATAATGCTTCTTTTATAAATTGATTAACAATTCTACAAGTAGAATGGTTACATTTTTGAATATTTTAACAAATTACAGGGAAATGAAAACCTAAAGGTTAATTGACGAAAACAGGCATAACTCTTATTGCATTTCAGAGAGAAACATAAAATCTGTAAAAGAATCTTTGATTTCATAACTCAATATTATGCAATTTCAAAATAAGCTCAATTTTTGCACACAAAAGCAGCTTATTACATAATTATACATATAAAAATATGTGAGCTCAGAATAAAAAGTAAATAAATAACTGATGTGATATTGTCTAATAGAAATGAATTACAACAATTGTTCCTACTACTTAAAAGTGTTAAGAGCACTGTCCATGTTTATTACATTAAATGCCAAAATTTTAGTCTTATTATTTTTTTTTATCAATGCAAAGATCATACTTGTATTTCTGGAAATGAGGCAATGCAAAGAAAATAATACTTTATAAATACAAACTACATTGATATCCAAAAGTTAAACATAATACTTGAACAACAAGATATTGCAAATACATTACCAAAAAAGGCAAAGATAAAAATAGAATTTCATGCAAAAATAATCATTTAAAAACACTGGAGGCCCAATTTTTCTTATATATATATAAAAAAAAATTGTGAATGAATATTAATGTGAGGTACGATCAATTTTTGTAGCAAGAAGACCTCAAATCAAGTTTTTATGCTTTCTGTAAAGTTTTTCATACCACTAGAAGGTCATACCTAGAAGCTCATTAAATGCACTTCCTCAGCACATATTCCAATTGCATATATGCTCATCCAAATTCTTGCCACTGTATTCATAGAATATATTTATTTTGAAGAAATCATCATTCAACTAGGATTAACAAGAATATGCACCTTTATCGATGAGCATAACTGTGGAATTTGGCATCTTGAAAATGGCAGACAAAATTCTAGTATTTTGGCTCCATATCTTTCACCAATCATAGAACCTCAGCTAAAGATGTGAAACTCTGAGGCTCTATTCAATATTATATCAACCCATTTAAACACCATCTCTTCCAAACTTATCTCTTAAGGCAATTTGTTTTTTGAAATCATTCATTTAAACAGCACATTGCACGAATGACTCATGATCTAGTTGCATTGCAGACACATATGTCTGTGTGCAGGGAGGGAAGGGAGACAAACTGTTGATAATCTGATCTGGTATACAGGTCAACTTCTCCAAGATGTCTTCGAATTATTGCCTCTGTGGCATCTATCAATTTTTGAGACAGCTACTTGTAGATATCTTTCTCAGATTCTGTGCAGTTATTGCCAGATAGTTCTAATGAAGTATTAGATAGGTATCTGGCAACTCTTGATAAGACAAATACTTGTTACAAGGTTTGTTCATAATTAAAATGCAAACTTTCAAACAACATCCTACCGACTGTCCTTTAACATCACCAAATCTGATAATTATACATTGTGTCACATTGAATATTCTAGGAACTTTTGTTTGTAACCACTCCAGTTCTATCACCATATTGATTATAAAATTAAAAAAAAGTCAATTTTAATACTTGTTATATAATTAATTCCAGATCAAAAACAAACAGCAGCACTTTTCGTAGGGACTACAAGAAACTACAATAATATATGTAGGTTACTATTTGTTGTTTCTAGGGTAATGTGATCTTATTTGTGCACATATTGTCATTCGATAAAATCCGTGTCTGCAGAGAACAGTTTAAATAAGGGGATAATTTGCATGCAAACTTACGCTGTTCTGTTTTGGTTTATCTCACACACTACCTGAATTAATGCTTAACTTTCAGATACCACTTGATATGCAGAACAATGCATAAAAATAGAGAAATAATGCAGAAATTATAGAAATTTTTAAAAATTAAAAAATCTTTAGTAAAACTGACCTTTTAATATGTCTTGCACCAAGTTCTGCAAGCAAAATTCAAAGAAAATATTTAACATCTGTGTTGTGCAACGGTTAAATAACTTCACTATTTGGCGGTAAACATCTTTCTTCAGTAACGTAGAAGGATATTCTAAATTATAAAATAAACTTAAGTACATATATGAAATGGGAAAAAAAATATATGCACATAGTATTTTATAATATCACTTTTTCAAAAAATTGTTAAAGAACTTCCACAAATACATTCTAAAATTTTTAACATCACATTTTATAAGCAATAATAAACAATGCAACAAGCATTTCAGAAAAACAAATATGCTGAATTATCTTTAGGAAGACCATTACATTGTTCCACTGATTCTTAACAGTTTTGATCTTCTGCGAAGGTAATCACATACTAGACATTTGAGATCAATATATATTATTGATTTCAGAGATAATCTTACTACAGAGGCAGTCAACATAAGAGGTTGCACTGGATTATACTGCCCAAAATATGCAACATGTCTCTTTTTACTGTAATACAACTTTAGATTTTACTCATCAATACAATTTTTCCTGCAGTAGCCATACCAAGAAAAGCCTGTGGCATAGATATATTCTTAAATTCAAAAGTAATGCAAAAATAATTGAAATTTTTGGTAAGTGATTGTAAATAAATAGAATTTTTATAATTGTTCATAAAATATCTGTAACAAATAAAAAGCTATTATGAGAGCTGCTATTGCAAAATTTCATACTTATACTGCAATTAGTAATTGAAAATAAAATTAAATCTCTGATTTTAAAATATACTGCAATCTGAAGGACACGTTTCCACTATCAAGTTCGAATTTCATTAGTGCTTGCTTTTGTTGCATTTAGCACATTTCAGTAAGATATAATTATTGGACTGGAGTTTGCCGGTTGATGAAAAATAAAGTATTGCATTTCTTCAAAAATATGGTGTTTTGTTTAATTGTAAAGAATGAAAAAATTCGCATTCCATGAAGTTGTACTTCCTAAATGATAGAGTTCTATGCACATAGCACAGCATTTCTACAGCACTTAGTTACCTATTTCTGTGCTGCAAGGGAATAAGAAAATATGAAAAGAATTCTATGGATTAAAATTTGTGTGCAGATGCCAAATTTGTAAGAATGTCTTATTTTTTTTAAAGTCAATATACACTGAAGTGACAAAAATCATGGGATACCTCCTAATATTTTGTCGGTCCTCCTTTTGCCCGGCGAAGTGCAGCAACTCGATGTGGCATGGACTCAACAAGTTGTTGGAAGTCCCTTGCAGGAATATTGAGCCATGCTGCCTCTACAGACATCCATAATTGTGAAAGTGTTGATGGTGCAGGATTTTGGGCACAAACTGACCTCTCGATGATGTCCCATAAATGTTTGATGAGATTCATGTCGGGTGATTTAGGTGGCCAGATCATTCGCTGGAACTGTCCAGAATGTTCTTCTAACCAATTGCGAACAATTGTGGCTCGGTGACATGGCGCATTGTCATCCATAAAAATCTCATCTTTGTTTGAGTACGTGAAGTCCATGAATGGCTGTAAGTGATCTCCAAGTAGCTGAAGGTATCCATTTCCAGTCAATGATCGGTTCAGTTGCACAAGAGGACCAAGTCCATGCCATGTAAAAACAGCCCAGACCATTATGGAACCACCTCTAGCTTGAACAGTGCCTTGTTGACAACTTGGGTCCATGGCTTCATGGGGTCTGGGCCACACTCGAACCCTACCATCAGCTCTTACCAACTGAAATCGTGACTCAACTGACCAAGCCACGGTTTTCCATTTGTTTAGGGACCAACCGATATGATCACGAGCCCACAAAAGTCGCTGCAGGCAATGTTGTGCTGTCAATAAAGGCACTCGAGTCGGTCTTCTGCTGGCATAGCCCAAGGAAGACAAATTTCGCCGCACTGCCCTATCAAACACGTCCCTCGTACGTCCCACATTGATTTCTGTGGTTATTTGATGCAGTGTTGCTTGTCTGTGAACATTGACAACTCTACGCAGACGTCGCTGGTCTCGGTCGTTAAGTGCAGGTGGTCGGCCACTGTCCATGTGGGATGTTATGCCTGAAATTAGATACTCTCGGCACACTCTTGACACTGTGGATCTCGGAATGTTGAATTCCCTAATGATATCCGAAATGGAACGACCCATGCGTCTAGCTCCAACTACCATTCTGCATTCAAAGTCTGTTAATTCTCATCATGCGGCCATAATCATGTCAAAGCCTCTTCACATGAATAACTTGAACACAAATGAAACTACTTTGCATTTATACATTTTTTATGCGATACTACTGCAATCTGTATATTTGTATATTGCTATCCCATGACTTTTGTCACTTAAGTGTAGATTGCTGTTATCACGTGAGAATCTGAGATAATAATAGCATGTGCAATATCAAATTTGTACAATACTCTGATTTTTTTAAGTGAGAAGACACCAATGTGTACATGGAGAACCGACAATATGTGCAATACCAGTTGTGTGTGATCTGCAATTCTCTGAAGTTTCTGGAATTCTTTGATGTTTTAAGTTAAAAATTATTGCTGCGTACACATGGAGAACAGCACTCACTCCAAGTTTTATGAAAGATCTTAGATTTTGATGCAATTCTTACTGTGTTGCCATTTTTGAAAACGACTGTTGTCTTTTGCATCTTAGCCTGGCGAAAAATAATTAGTCAATACCCCCCCCAAAAAAAACCTCAAAGTGTGCCCAAAAAGGTTAGAAAACTTATGTAAATAATATGCTATGCAATTACTATGTTTCTGACTTACACAATACTAAATTAATATATCCTTAATTAACATTACTATATCAAAGGAATTATATCAGACTACATTAATATATCACAGTATACTTAATCTATCCTTGTTTGCAAGAACAGAGGAATTTTTTGCTTAGTGCAGCAAAACAATACCAAGCATAAAAATTCTCAATACATGCCAAAAAAAAAGTTGGGAAACTGATGTAAATAATGTACTGCACAATTATTTTTCATCTATGCAAATAACTGTCTACAGCCCATAGTTATATATTTCTGCCCTGAATGAGAATAACAAAATATGAAAAGAATTTTGTAAATGAAGAACTAATAAACAATGAGTGATTATTTCATATGGATTTATTGCATAAATACCCTCGAGAATACATTACAGAATGTCCTATACAAATACATCATTATAAATAAATTGTACTTACTTATTTAAGATACTTAAAGGAATATTTTAAGAATTTTTTACCTTATCAAATCACAATAAGCCTTTATTTATATAAATATTAGGAAAATGCAACTAACTCTTTCTACGTGATCAATGCCCTGAGGTGAGCGACTGACAAGTTTTTTTATGCATGCACATACATTACATGCGAATGCTTAACGCATGCATTCGTTGAAAGAAATGTTTAATAAAGTAAACAAATAAATAAAGCTTTTTTTTTGTAAAATTTGATACTCTTTAGATCATAATTGCTTTTTATTTCACAAATTACGGTTTCATATTTTTAATTGTATAATTTCTGCATGCCATCTTACCAGACTTAAATTGATGATCTATAATCCAAAAAAAACCCTAATCCGGAATCGCCGAAGTCCCGATGAGTCCAGATTACGGACTTTGTACTGTATATATTTTCATGTATTTTGTTTCTCTTAACATGAAACAAAAATCGCTTAACACAAAAAGATATCCTCTCTGGATATGAACAAAATACGGAAAACACTGGCTTCGCAGGCAAAATTTAAGAGGTTTCACATATTTTGTAGGAGGCTAACTTGGCTTCGAAATACCCTCGGAAAAGCCTGCGACATGAGCCAGTTTTGTTTATCTAAGCTACTTTCACCTTCCACCCCTACAAACGCCACACAAAAATTCTCATTTCTCATCAGTTGGCTTTGGAATTCGGTGACGAGTACATCACAATGTGAGTAAAAATCTGCGAGTTTGGTTCATATGTTGCACTCTGCATGTCTCTGTCTCTTCCTATATTGCACTGTGCATGGAATTCAGTGACTCCAAGGAAAAATGAAAATTGTTTTCATCATACACAATTCTTAGAAGTATGAGATTTCTTGCCGCCAAAAAGAAATGGAGGAGAATATTAAACCTGAGCTAACACTTAATGAAATGTTTGAGAAAGTTTCTGTATCACTGGACTGTCCTACTGTATTATTGGAAGACTTCGTTGCAGCAGTTGATGATAAAGTGTGTACAGCTCCAATTATAGCAAAGACATTTTGGAGTTTGTTCAATGTTAAAATGAAATGAATAATGCAGTTCCTGTTCCCACGTCATCCGAAATGAGGAACATCGTGAAAAGAATGCACAGTTACTTAGACGCACATTCTAATGGTGAAATAAATAACAAAATGGATGACATTGAGCAATTTGATGCTAAAAAAGACAATGCAAAGAAGAATATCAGATTATTTTCCAGAAACTCAATAAATGTTTTGTTTTACACAAAACTTGAAAATTTTGTATTAATTTTCATTAATTTCTTATGGATGTTGTTGTTTCATCGATTTTTATTAAATACATGCATATATACATATCTATGTAAACAAACATACTCTAATAAAGTTAATTTTGTTGAATATGTTTTTTTTCCCCCCAACATCCTTTAACACGAAAAAATATTTCAGTCCCCTCAGTTTTGTGTTAAACAATTTTCACTGTAAATGCAATATCGAACATCACCTTTATAGAAACACCAATTCCAAAGCAGATCAAAACCATCTGGAACCATAAGCGAACACCTTAGAGAGGATTTAACTGTATTCTAACATTGGAGATTTTTACTGTGTTTTAATCCTTGCTTTTATGTAAAAGCATAATAATTTAGTGCATAGCTGTTAAATCTTATTGCAAAAGGGAACAAAAAGCAAAATTTTCTCTTTTTAAAAGCCATGAAATAAGCTGCAATAAAAACATTCAATTACTGATTGAGGAAGAACATGTTAAGGCTATGCTTGAAGCAGGAATGCCTTTGTGTAAGATTACCTAAGTGAAAAAATTAATTTATGTTACTCATGGGAAAAAAATCAAAATGTTATAGTATATAGTACAAAAGTTCTTCTTAGATGGTACTCAATATAAGGGTTATTCGGAAAGTAAGTTCCAGAATGTAACTTCTGCATCTGACAGATGGTGCTAATCTGCCTATGTGGTATTGCATCTTCAATGATTAAAGAATGCATCATTATAGAAAAGTTAGTATGCCATATGTAAATCATGCTAAAGACTACAAAAAGTCCTAAGCATGAAATTTGTCCCCATAACTCACTTTTCAAATGCAAGGAACATGCAACCACTTGAAATCCATAGGCAAAATCTGTGAGACATGTAGCGATAAAGCTGAATGAGGGGATTATTAGGAAGATGGATTAGATTGTTCAATTCAAGCATAACGAACATGCACAATGAAGTGAGATGTGGCCAGCTATCTGCTGAAAATAATGAAAACTGATTCATCAAACTGATGCAAAAATTTGTGCAAACAGATTTCATGATCTCCAATCTTTTGATAGTGTGTCCTAAAGTTTCATGTACCATTCTGTATAAAACTGTCACTGAATGCTTAGGTTTTCAAAATGTGTGTGCATGCAGAGTACTAAAAGTGCTTAATGAGGAGCATAAAGATAAACATTTTGCTGCTGCTTTGACCTTTCTGAACCGATACAATGCTGGGGGAAGGTACAAATTGTCGACTATATTATCATAGGTGATGAGACTTGGATTTCCCATGTCACGTTACCATTCAAACAACAATCAATTCAAACAACACAGACATTTCTACATGCAAAATCATGTACACCATTTGCTGGGACAGAAAAGGTGTTGCTCAGTGATGCTTGATTGCTTAGTGCCAATGTAATTTTATTACACAACAATGCCAGGCTACATTCCATTTGTGTGATTAAGATATCATTGAATCTTTCAGTTAGGTAAAAATAAGTTATCCACTGTATAGCCCTGACTTGATGCCATGTGACTTTCACCTATTCTTGAGTGGCTACTATTTTGAGGACGATGAAAAAGTGAAAGATGTTATAATATCCTTCCTAACCTCAAAAGCAGCTACTTTCCATGATACTGGCATATCAAACCTTGTTTCTTGATACAATAAATGTAGAGCCCACCAGCGGCCGAGTGGTAAAGACGCAGAACACTGGTAGTTCGGTTCGAGGTTTGAATCCCGCGAACGAGCTGGCTGCATGGGAGTTTTCGAGGTTTTCCCCCCATGTGTAATGTGTATATGAGCCAGTTTAAGCCCAGGAAGGCATCCCTCCCTTTAGGCAGATAGCCCTCGTATGCTTTGCCATAATTGAATAATCCAATCCAATACAATAAATGCTTTAATGTGTTGGGCAACGTCAACAAAAAGTAGTGTAATCGTTGTAAATGGTTATTAAATAAATATTATTGTCTGCACCTGTTTTTGTTTTCCTTTAAATGGTAACATATTAAAAAAAAACAAAAAAAAAAAAAAAAACCTTCATAAAATACTCTCTACATACAAATGAAACTAATAAAATTTATATAAGTCATATATCTTATTTTTATGCTGAACTTTTTTTTTTACACTTTCTTGATGGATATTTTGATTTTTCAGTACAGCAAACACTATAGGACCATGTTTTCTTATATTTTTATTTAAATAATCATATAAAATTTGTTCCAGTATTTAGTACTTGCCATTATGACTATTCCTAAATTACATAAAGTTGGTAGTGAAATAAAAGCATAAATCCAAATTATTATTCAATAATTATGGCTTTTAAAATCTTCACAAAATATTACTGACAGACAGAATTTGCTGCCTCCAGTTACGAAAGATATAGCACAGAAATCAAAAATCAGTGAATTTTCTTTTTAGAGTTTTTACACGACGATGATTATATAGAGGTTGGCTATTATGTGAATATCACCATATATCTTGTAATATATAGAAACAGTAAAAATAAAATATTTCTGAAAAGCTCAATTTTTTTTTTAATTTGCAGGTTGTCACTAGAAACCTTAGTGTCAGCCCTGCAAGCTTCTACAGATTTTGATCACATCGAGTTCTGACATTACGTGCACACATTTTATAATATCTAGAGTTATGACTAAGAAAAGAAAATTACCATGAGGCTTTTGACTGAAAGTATAGTCTTCTATCGCTGCATCTAACTTCAGATTAAGAAACGATACTAAATCTTTGAGCCACAGCAATGGATTTTCAGGACGTAAAACTTCCAAAGTAGTAACAAGATTTTTTAAATCTTCTTCAGTAATCTGAAATTAATAATGATAATTATTTTCTATAGCAGACAAATAAATAGTATGAAATTTCATTATCTGATTCTAGTTTCAAGTTCTGACATCTGTAACATCTCACATGGAAGTGCTAATCAAGTTTATTATACCAAAAGTTTCTACCAAGATCTACTAGATTTAATTTTATAAGACCATGGTAAATCAATTTAAAATAATTCAAAGAGTTTGCTTATTTTATAGGAAATAAAAAAAAAAAAAAAAAAAAAAAAAAGAGAAAATTTCAGGTCTACACTTGTAAGCTGCTGTAGAAGTAAAAAATTTGAGAAAGCTATAAAAATCACAGAAATGCAACAATCTCAGATCAGCAATAAAATTCATGTTTCTGTTCTTAATACACTCCTCAAAAGTGAAATTGCGACACCAAGAAAGAGTGCTCATAGCTTCATGCAAATTGCAGGATCGAGGGTTGCGAGATGAATACGCAAATGATTAAAAACATTATAAACCAATTTGTTTAGTATCTAATGTGCCTACCTTGGACAACGATACAGACCGTAATCCGGTGAAGCATGCTATCAATGAGCTCATTGATGGCTGAATCTATCATGCACACCTTGCTGAATCTTATCATGTGACACAAAGTTGGATGGTAACCCCATTGTTCCAATGGTGGCTATTGTGCGCAGCGACAAACCAAGCTCATGGAGTTCGATAATACGGTCACGTTCCCTCGTTGTTAACTAACGTACTCAACTCAATCACGTCTCAGAGGCATTTCCCATGATTCTTCTTCTATGCTCCATAAATCCTCAGATGCTGTTTATGAGAGAGAAAGTGGCTGACCTTTATAGCCTGCCATATGCGTACCATGTGATCCAATGCGTACGCAATATTTATCATTTGCATATCCACCTCGCAACTCTCGCTCCTGCAATTTGCATTATGCTACGTGCATTCTTTCTTGATGCTGCAATTTCACTTTTGAGGAGTGTAATATGATAAATGTTGAGGCATGAAGTCAAAGTTAGATTGAGTAAGTGCAGCTTTCACAGCAAGAGGATGCAAATATTCCCTCAATTTACACCATATGCAACTTAATGCCATTTCACATACATATTTTCCAGCTGGTTTGCTTAAAAATAAAAACATACATTTTTTATTTTTTCAACAAAATAAATGGAAAATAAACTTTGGAATAAAATAAAGCTTTCACAGTTTTCAAAAGGTAATATTTTACAATAACATATGATGATTTTACCATTATATTTAGAATAAATACGTAAAATATTGTTTAGGGATACAATACTGAACTGCCAAATAAAACTACATAAACAAATTTTCCATGAAAAAGTACTACATAAATTTGGCAATCACAAGGTATCATATTCTTTATGAAAACATTACTGGCCAATTTGTATTAGAGCATGAAATATGTATTAGAGCATGAAATTTGTAATAGACTTCAAAATAAAGGACAATTCATATTTATCATATACTAGCCAGAAATTCTCTTCAATTTATTCTAAAATTACTTTTACTGTATATAATAGAAAGCAAGATAACCAACTATAATGCGACCAATTTTCAATTCTAATCTTAATCTCTATTACATAATGCATCATGCTAAAAATGGATGACTATTATTGACTATTTGTAGCTTGTTGCAGTAGGAAGCTTTTTCTCATTATCAATCTACTGCATTATCTACAACAGTGATGGTCCCAAAACTGATGCATAATTCTGGTTTCATGGTATATCTTTTACAGCCACCAAATCAGGTATTAAAATGGGAATTTAGGAATTTTATACTGGAACTTCTTTACACAGCTAAATAAAAACCTAATTATTATCCTTTAATGATTTTTGAAAAATTTTAAAAATCTAAGACCTTTTCAGTTCATGGGAAAAACAAAATTCTAAGACTAAGGTCTCCCATGGACAATGCAGTTCACATAACAAATAGCAGGATGTGGCCAGTAGGGCTAAGCCTTTCTATTACATATACTAAGAGAAAGAATCAATTCTTGATTAGAAGAATCAATAATAGTAATTATGCTTACCGCAGCAAATATATCTTCTAAAGGAATCTTAGACAATGTCCCAGCTTTTTTTTCTGTCTTTTTTTTCTTCTGTTGAGCATTTTTGTCTTTGCTTTTTACTACCTCATTTACATTAACTTTAGGTTTTGGAATACTTTTCCTTTCTTTTTCCAAGAAAGCAGCATAAATAGTTTCACTTTCGGAAATTGGACCTATAATATAAGAGGGAAAAAACTTGATATTAAAGCAAATATAATAAACAGGTAAATATTCAAATTTGATGTAGATTTACTGTCATCTAATAACTATTTATTATAATTAATATTAAATATGTAAACACAATTTTACTTCATTACTCAATTTCAGAGATTCTATGTATTTTAATAGTTAATAAAAACCAAACAAAATTAGTACACATAATGAAACTCATATTTTTTACATGCAAAATGAAAATATGAATAATAAAATAATAATACTCTTACGAAATGTCGAGCTGCAGTAAGATAGCTTCCTGCGAAGTGGTTTTAGGGTTGCCAGAAAAACACCAAGGAAAGGCTGCATTACCGTATTTGGTGCAAAATTTGCGATATGCCATAGATGAAACATGAACATTCTGGAAGGATTTCTTCCCAGTTTGCTACAGAATGTTCTCGAAGGCAGGTCAAAAGCTATATAAACCCCACCTGTAGTGAGTAGTCACCTGTAAGGAGTGACTTATACATAAGAAAATATTCAGTGACACAGATAAAATGGTCAAGCTAAGTTTCACTTCTTTGAATTATGTACTGACACCTTTATGCAGTTTTACAAACTAATTTTGGGTAAAATAATGTCAAGGTAATGGACTTGACATGGACAAATTATTTTTATCGATTTCCTAAATTTATATCTAAAAATTTTCAACTGATTTTTTTTATATTTTAAATTGCGGAAATATATTTACAGTTATCTTTATGCAATTGCTCAAATTAAACTTTAAATATTAATTTATCTTAAATTTTCTTTCTTTTCTTCTGGGTCAGCATATGTAATCAAAATTGAAAATGGGCCCAGCATTAGCTATGAATTCACTTTCATTGAAGTGGACTGAGTAAATACGGACCTATTGAATTCACATCTTGAACAGCTGAATAACAGGTGTCCAATAAGCATGAATCATTATATGAATTGAAAGTGATGAATTAATTCATCAAGAGAACTATTCTAGAAGTGAAATGAATTTTAATTGTACTCTAAAAAATTACATGTACTCATTTTACTTTTTTTCAAACTAAAAGAGCTGTAATTTAAGAGGTTACAGCGAAATATATTTGAATGAATTACAGTATTTTACATGCATTTGTAGGCATGATCAATATAATTTCCTTTAGCATGGCATCCCATAAAAATTAATATATGGTACTATATGAGGGATTCTTGTAATTTAACAGACTTTCAATACAGAACTTCAAATTATAAAATTTCATCTTATAATACATACCAAAATCACACAAAAAAATAATAGTACAATGATTCTCAGACCAGCTTCTAACAAATATTGGCAAACAGATTCTATTTTACGAATAAAATACAGATCAGTTTTTAAAATATCCAATATGACTTTTTTAATTACTAGATGACCAATAAACAAGTTGGATGAATCACATTTCATAAATATTTAACATTCTTACAATCTTATATAATAAATAGCTTAAATCCCATTTCTCTCATAAAAAATGAGGTAAAAGGAATTATGAATCAATATATCACCAAGTTATTGCAACTGATACTTAGCATTAAATCATTTATTTATGTGTGTACTTTACTGCACATCAAATAGAATACTTTCCTTTATTTTTATCCATCAAGCATTTCAAGTTTTATCTCTAAATTGTTAAAATACGAACAGAATCAATAACTAGCTACAACATTTGCTTATTAAAACGGAGAAGTACAGAAGAAAACTTGGGATATACACAATTCTTGATCATAATTTTCGTGATTTTAGCAACACACCTGAGATTTCAAAATTTGTACTTTCTTTAGCTTTCTTCTCTTTCGCCGCCTTAGCTATATCATTTTTTACTTTATTTTTCTTGGACTTTCCACCAACTACTTCCCACTGTCCACCAGCCATAATTTATAAGGGCTACTTAAGGAGGTGTAAGCAATATAAACAAGACGATTCTACACACGGCAACGTTTCAATTTGACGTGGGACCCTTAAAAACCTCACGTTGACTTACAGTTGCCAACACTCTTCTCAAAATGAACACTTTTTAAAGAAATTAAGCTTTTTAAAAAATATTTTCTTACTAAACATTTATGAAATTAAATGGCATCAAATTAATAAAATTTACGTGCAACAAAAAGTAGCGAAACAATTTACGCGCAACAAACAATACAATAATAGCAAAAATGACAACAGCATAGTCATAATAACAGAGAAATAGAATGAAAACAATTAATCTGATCTAAATCATATAATAATAATAAAAATTAATAAACAATGAAGTAATTATGAATTCCGTAACCTGTCGTATTCAGAACTCAATGAATTGGTAAGAAGAAAGTAAGTGATCTTAAACTCATGGGTAATAACAGAAAATGAATCAACTTCATTGCAATGCTTTCAGTTTTAGGCATAGATGAGAAAAAAATAATTTTAGAAAGCCCTGATGTAAATGATATTATGTCAAGTCTGTAAAAGTCTTCAAATGACTCTGGGATTATGGGTCATGTTCTCCAAGCATCCGATGAGATCTCGATACGACAGTTGTCCCAAAAGACGCGTTCCTTGAGGAGCGAATGTTTGCAATTCTAGCAACCGATCGAAATACTTTGGCACGATGTAGCCAATCTTTGATATAGCCATTGTTTCGTTTTCAGGTACTGCAGTTATTGGTCAGAGACCAATATTCAGGTACTGCAGCTATTGGTCTTCTGAAAACCACTGATATACCACCAGTACCAGTACCAGTACTATATACCAGTATTGAAAACCACTGTAACTCACTGATAAGCAATGGCGTTTGATGAGTATTTAGTATTAGTATTTTGATGAATATCAAATGAAATCTGTGGTCAGAATTCTGTCTAAAGAAAAGTGTTTAGAACAGATTAGATATAAATAATTGAAATATAATTAAAAAAAGGAAAATAAAATTCTTAAAGAGCTCAGATTTTAACAGTCGTGAAAGTAACGGTTTTTCTACGCTCTCACTCAGCTCGAAGTCTATCACTCTGATACTGCACTCACTTCTGCTAACGACTTTTTTTTTGTCTTTTTAGCTTAAAACCAAAAGCGGCAATTTGCACAGAAGGGCTATTAATTTGTTTTGGCATTTTGAATCGATTCATTTTTGAAATTGTTGAAAAAATTGATCATGTGATCTCTGGCGATTGTGCGTTTGCAGTCGTCTGACATCTTCCTTCCGGCAGGCCTTGCGATAAATGTTTACGTAAACAAATATTTAGAATTCGGAATGTAACGGACGTTTTTTTCTTACTAGGTAAGCTTATTCTTTATTCTCGGATTACCACTCGGATTATATCAGTCTGATATGTTTACGTATGAGATGTGTTGTGAATAAAAATAAGAGAAACTTGGACAACATAGTCTTCATGCGAGAATCACTTTTATTCTTGAGTGTGATACGTTATTATTATTATTATTTATTATATTGCTGTTGAAATAAATTTTGTAGTTTAAGTGCGAAGAACGTACCGTAATTTCCGGAAGAAAGTTCGCATCAGCTTAAACGCCGCACTCGAGAAAAATGGCGGGAAAAAAATTAAAATTACACAGAAACGCCGCATCAGCGTAAACGCCGCAATAGATTAAATTGCGCGTGACATCGTCGTGGGCCGTATAGATGCAAAAACTCAACCTAAGTCCTGATATATGACATACCAGTTAAGAAAAATGCATGAAATGAAACCATAACTCAAAAATAAATTAAAGGTAAGAAATGTATAGCTTCTGTGCCGTTTAGAGACATTTTCAAAAATTTTCCGCTCCCTAATTAAAAACTATCCAACAAGTATTTGTACCCTAACTGATGGGATCTGTATTTGGCAGAATGCCAAGAAAAATCCATTCATGCTGAAGGGGAAATACGTCAGAGTTCGTTACTGCGAGGCAGGTGGAGTCGTGTCCGCCTTTGAAAAAAATTGCAGAAAAGGCAGGGGTGGAAAGAGGATGGGTCCTGGAAGATTCATCGAATGGCAGAGGAGAGAGACTATTCAACTGATGAGAATATTGATTTGAAAGGGGGAAGAATGTTATTGTTCTGAGATCTCGTTTAGGATGAATAAGGCATGTAGGTCCGTTCAAAGGAAAGAACGTAAACAAAATAACGTTCGCAAAAAGCAACTGAGTGGTCTTTTGTGTAGGAACAGCACCAATCTATGCATAATGACAAGGCCATCAAACTATATACAATGACCATCATAGGAAATACTTTATTTTTAGTGCACCTAAACGCCGCATGGGTAGAAACGCCGCACCCGCTGAAAATTTAAGTTTTAAACACGTAAACGCCGCGGCGTTTCTTCCGGAAATTACGGTATTTAACAAATAAAGATAACACACAAAACGTTAAAGAAAACCTCTTTGGGGTTAATATAAAATCTGAAAAACTTCAGATTTTTTTCCCTTTTTGTATTTTTCCTTTTTAAAGATATTTGGGGTTTTATGCATTTTTGCCTTGTTGCGAAGTGAGCACTGAATTAATTGAATGAGAAATATATCTCTAATGGAATTCGAGGAAATAAATGTAGTAAATGAAATGCAACAAAAATGCATATAATTTACATTAATTAAAAAATGCATTTAATTTGTATTCCGTACAGGAAAGTCAAGTGGTGTACACATCAGATTTTTTTTTAATTACAGTTCTCGAATAGTTGATGACTCTGCCCTTACCTTTTTATTGTCAATAATTATTAGACAAAATATTCATGCAATGTGAAGAGAAAATAGCTTATTAAATTTTATCAAATGCTAAACATGTTGAATTTGTGTGTTCTTTTATGTATTTGGACCTGTAGGTAAGTTAATAGATTATTTATTCTTAATAAATAGACATAAAATGATAATATTCTCTTGTAGACCTTTAGTACAGTGAATTATCTATCTCTCATCTGTCAAGTTCACAGTGTACTGATATGCTTAAAAAAGATATAATATTTTTGCCTGGATAATTCAAGAAAATTCTGTCTTTTAAATAAGAAGAATTATACAATTTTTACTTCCTTGTACGATTTAAAAAGGAAGTATTGTAATCTCGAAAACCTTCAGCAAAATCAAAATGGGTATTTCAACGAAAATACCCATTTTGTGCCGCTTTGGAATGCAATTTAACGATATTTTTGCGTGGCATCCGTACGTAAGGACAGAATAAAGGACTTTTTTCCTCCAAAAAATTATAAAACTGATTTAAAATGAATTCTGAAGAGAAATTTTTGTGGGGTCTGGGCGTACGTACGTATCTCACATAACTCAAAAACGAGTAGTCTCAGAAAGTTGAAATTTTGTATATAGGAATGCTATAACATGTATACGTGCACCTCGTATTTTGCTTGCAATCGGCAGCACAAAAAGTATATAAATACTATGTATATGTATATCGACTCTTTTACTCGACTCAGCGATCTCAGCTTCTTTATTCTTATGTAAATTTTGCCCTTTTTGCTTTAAAAATGACTAATTATGTTGTACTTATCTTTCGGTTAAGGATTTTATGCCTTTAGTAAATCCGCATGCAATATTTTTAGAATTATTAACAATTTAAGAGTTGTTTAAGTGTCGCTAAGCCTAATTATTTTTGCAATAGCGGAAATGTTTGTTTACATTTGAAACAGTAGAATAGTAGATTTGTTGCCATTCTAGAGAAAGTAAGCTTCGCAATAACAAAGATAACGCATTCTTTTATTATTACGAATTAAATCACGCTTAATTCATCCTGGAATTTATTCGAGGAAATAAGTGTTTAAGATTTACTTCGTAATTTTTAATATAGATATTTTGAGTTTTTATGTATTTTTTCCTTATCGCGAAGTGAAAACTGAATTAATTGAATGAGAAATATTGAAAACGTCTGTGATAAAACTGTTTATTTTTGTTGATGTTGTTTGCCTAATTTCTTTTATACATCGTTTTAGAATTATTATAGTGTTTGAATAGAATATGGGGCAACGATTAGATAATTTTTTACATGATATAAATTTTGGGCATTCTGAGTAACAAAGTGAACCAATCAATCTTATGCCGCTGCTGCTGCAGCCTCTCAAAACAACAACAACAACAAAAAATAATTTACTAAAAATACTATTAATAATTTTAAGAATAATGAAGTTAAAGAAGAAAGTTTTGACGAATTGAAAGATTTCATTATAAATTTACACGATATGTATCTACAAAGTAAAAGAGCAAAAGATTCTTCAAGCAGATTGAACATCGCCCTCGAGGTTGTAAGGCTTTTCATTAATCACGAACATGATTAATTACAACCGAAATAAATATACCAATAATTTAAAACAGATTTCTTACGCAAAATTTATGTTCTACAATTGCAACGGAATTTACCACCAACTACTAGAACTCAACGCATTCTACGCTGTACACATAAACTAAAAATTCCTAATTACGATATTTATAGAGCTGACAGACTTCACAACAGAGGCGGTGGAACCGCAATTGCCATAAAAAGCTCTCTAAAAAGTTACGCATACCCTCTCCCTGCTTTTAATAGCATAGAGGCTTGTGCTTGTATCTTACCCTGCAGCAACTGCAATTATTTAATAGTTTCTGTTTATAAACCTCCGCAATCACATCTCAATACCCAAGACCTGGATGCAATAGTTAACTTAGGATTACCCACACTAATAGCTGGAGACTTCAACTGCAAAAATACCATCTGGAACTCCAGAACTAATAACTCGGACGGCATTACTCTATATAATTACTGCCAATTTAAGGATATGAACATTCATGCACCTGATGATCCTACTTTTATCTCTTCAGCTTATGGCTGCAAAGACACACTGGATATTCTTATTACCGCCAATATTAACCAGCAACCGTATCTTTTCACCGATAATGTTTTATCCTCTGATCACTTTCCTGTACGTTTTACCCTTTACGGGTT